ACGAGAAAGTCACGTGGGCGCTGTACCGGAAGTATTGGAAAATGGATCGATCGGTATACCCGTTTCAAAGCGGTTTCAGGGAGTTATTCGAAGAGGACCATCTAATTTTTACGAATCATATATTGTGTTGAGTGATTTCCATCCTGTTACATCTCTAATGCGTAATTTCCTGCCAGGAAATGCAAGCGAAATTTGGAATGTAAATTTTCTTGATTGCTACGTATTTCTGAGAACTCTTTCCTCTGAATTATCTGGGCTGGATTTCGGACGAAGAACTACCAATACATACTACGTTGTTAGGTACGGTACATAAAAATGTTTCTGAATTGTAAATAAGCAGTTGTGCTGCGTAGTCCTACTGGTAATAGTAATACTTCAAGTACCAGGAAATAACTGTTAAAAGCGAAGAAGAAAATTTGATGGCAAATAATTGCAAGGCATGTCCCCCTCGGTCAACAAGGTAACCATAGTAAACAACTCCCTCTTACCTGTAAGACTCTTCCGCGAATGAAAAAATTTAGTAACGAAAAAAAGAATTCCAAAACCCAATCCGTTCACAAAATTTCAATTTCCATAATTTCGAGAAAAAAAAATTGAAAATTCTTGCTTAGAAATTATATTCGAAGGTATCTGCTTACCACAGAAACAGGAAAATTTTCTCATTGAACATGTTGATCATCAGCACGCATTGGACGGTATGGCGATGAACATTGCCTAACACCTGGAACAAGTAATTTTTGCTTGATTTACTTACTAGTAAATTGCCTTCAGATGAACAAAACTAGATTACTACAGCACTTACTACTTGTATTACTTTAATTAGTAATTCTTACTTATTTCGAGGATAGAAAATGAAACTTTTGGAGCTCGTCTTCATGCGAGTAAATCATTTGCAACTGTGCTTTTATACTACTTCAACGGGTCAGAACAAAAATGTATGCCTAAAATGAATTGCCCTAAGTGAGCAGTGCCATCTGATAAACCAAGCCATGGACTGAATCCCTAGGGGTCTCAGAAACCGAGATAGCCACCAGTCTATTGGCGAATTTTTTTTTCATCGTGAGTTCTAGGAGTAAAACGCGATCAACTAGCTGCCTTCCAGACTGTAAAGCATTGACTACTTCGATTTACACTCAAGTGACCGGTAACTGGTTCTTCCGTACATGTAATGGAGACAAAAAATTTTTCAAAGGTGGTAACTTTTAGGGAAAGGGATGTGGGCTGTTATTGGAATCATTTGCTGTTGAGCTTCTCCTGTAACTCTCTCTGAAGATCGGCTTTAGTGCTCATCTTGACGATATGAAGGGCACTTTATGATTGATGGTTACAGTACCCATACACAAAGAAAAGCCTCCATGCTACCGTAATCCCGTGGTAGCAACTCTCTAATTTCTACCTCTTTTTACTGGAGTACGGAGGATCAAAAGGGTTGATCTACATGGTGGTCTCTGAGTTTTGTCGACGCGGCAAAGGTACAAAGTCCGGAGAAATCGATACCATTCCAGGCGCGCTACACCTTTCTTCAAGACTTTGAAACTTCCTCCATTCTCTTCCCCCATACTTCCTCTTTTTCTTAATTACTTCAGGCCATTACCAGTTAGTTCATTTTCTTCTAGTTTCCAATTTTCTGTTTCATTTTCTTTTCATTTTTTACAGGCTCTCTCAAGTGTGAATGTCAGAAGAAAAGATACTAGGCCAAAAATGTTGAGAGTTCTCGTGTGTAACACTGCTCCACTGCTACTTACTACTCCACTCTGGAATCGGTAAGTAGTTTTATGTACTTATAATGGATCCATCCTCACCCGAGTTATCCTCGGCTTTATCAAATTATTTAGTGAACCTCTAATAAACACTTTACGAAGTGTACTTGTATTGAAATAGCTTAACCCTAAATTTTCTTGCGTTTTTTAAATTTTCAAGTTCACTTGGAACTTATATGAGGATTTTCAATGCCTTTCAAAAAGTTGTTTCATGAAATTGAGTCAGCGATGTATGAATACCTCTATGGGACTATTAAATTCTCGCCGAAGTTGCACTTTTTTCTAAAGCCACGAAATAAAGTAAAGTGAATAGGAATTGTGAGATATTCTTCAATAATTAACTTTATAAAACGTACTTTAACTTCAAAGTCGCAAAGTGTGACTCTTGGAAAATGCCCCGATTCTTCCCATTCTCGTCCATTCATCAGATCATTGAGCACCTTAAAGAAAAACGTTCATCTCAAAAACTCAATTAATAACTTTACATTTCTCTGCTCGATTGAAAAAGAGTGGAAATTCGCGGAAGATTGCTGCCTTGCAAGAAACCGAACTTAACGACCGCTGTCTACGGGGAAGACATTTGAATTCCGCTANATTGCGCCATACATTTTACGTAGCGCTTGGAGTATAACTACAGAAATTATAAAGTAACTTTGTAATTCTAGCTAGTTTTGTAAGCCTTGGTATGTTAAGATCGCTTCTCAGGTTCACCAGGTGGAGTTCTGCAGCGGCCTTAGAACTCTGACTTCAGAAACAGCTCTCAGCACTTTAAAATCCTAATCCACCAAAGCAAAGTAAGCCTTTCATAGTTTTTGTTGACTACATGGTAAAGGACATGTCTGGAAGAAAGAAAATGCCCGTTTGAATACTGATCGGCTCTTGCGAGTCTTCGAAAAGGACAAGAAGTGTCCGGACAACCTCATGACGTAAGGGGAACGTTGAGTGCGTGGCGCATCCGCAGAGCAAGTTGATGAAAATGATTCTCTTTATAAACTTCAAATGATTTAAAGTTAATTAAAAATAATATTACCTGCAATCCATACCACTTGCTTCGATTGCCGAGGAAAGTATTAAGTAGGAATATTTGGCCGACAATATTAACCGTATAGAGGATTTTCACAGAGATATAGAGGAATGTGACGGCAGCCCCCGATGAACGTGTACAAATGATGAGGTTTAGTAGTTTCAATCGATTGCCACTCATCTAAAAAAGAAGAGATTTTTATTATTACTAGTAAACTTACAGGTTAGAGAGTTACTTGTTTTTCGAGGAATTCTAGAGTTTTTTATGTTTTGCCGCAGGCCAGAAAAGTTCAAGCTTCCCTCAATCGACACTTCATTATGCCCTTGGGGTGCGATATTACTATGGATAGGGACCAAATTCGTTGGGTAATGTCCAGGCTCAGAAAAAAAGGGCAGAGAAAGGCCCCAGCAATTTGGCCCTCCCAAAAGTGTTTTTATCCTTTGCTTGATAGCCTGATAGAAAAGGATG